TCCTCCAACGATAATAAACACAATAGCAACCGTGGAAGTGTAGTATAGCAGTAAACTGACGAAAATATAAGTTGAATTCGCCAGTCTGACATATATCCATGTAGCAGGCTAACTTTGATCTCTAGACTGATGGGCCCTTTGAGACCGTTATTAGTGCTGTCTCCTTAAGTAAGGTACGGCAAATCTTCCCTAGATTGATGACACTACATAAACAAATGATAATCTAGCAGCCAAATCAATTATATACATCACAATATCAATGGACTAGGCATTTGCCTTTATTGATATAAATCTATCAACGTAGGGAGGCTGGCACGAACATAGTGGAAAAATATAGAAGCACGGTTTCGATATTATTTATACTATCCTATGCTGTTCTGATATATTCTTTCTTTTTGGGAGATATTACTTAGAGGGGTACGATTGATTAGACACAGTGGTATTTTTCGATAGGTTTCGTAAAATGTGTGACAAATGTACATTCAAAGTAAATCTTATAAAAATCAGATATCATTACAGTTAAAGCAAAAGTGAAATGGATGCTCCCTCTAAGATGTATTCCATTCACATTTTCTGGTTAATAACGAAATATATATATTCGTAGACTGAAAGGAGAGCAAAATCCAATGGCAAATTAGATTATTAAGCAGCTCATAAAAATGTGGTCTTGTAGTAATTAAGTCAAACTAATTCAATACAAATGTATCCTTTTTGATAGGTCGGAATTAGTTCCCTAATCCGTATTTCTTCCTAGCATTATGTCTCCTTACCTCAAACATGATTAATAAGCAATCGCAACAGACACAATATACCAAATGACAGAAGGCATTTTACGACCAGATTCTGCCTCTCGCAAACAGGGCACCCGTAAACCTTACATCACCAGTCTTCAGGTTCAGGCTGCAAAAGACTCATTCACTCTATTTACGCAGCTCTTATGCAGATATATCATCAGATCTACCATATTTTGCCTCCTAATTTAAAACCAGGTCAATCCACCAGCGCATATCAGAAATTGACCTTCACATTCAGAAAATTATTTATTAGGAAAAGCTCTTGGTTAGACTTGGCTTCATGAGTAAGACGGTAACTGCGTCGCATACTGTAAAACTACCTTAGGCGCGCATAGCCGTGCGCTACCTTATGGTCACATCTCCACATCCGCGGATTGCCCCAACAAGTCCATAATGGAAAATCACGACACTTGGACATACGGTCCTCGTCTATATTAGCATCTTCACTGAATCAGAGGAAACGCAGCGTCTCTGCACTGTGCCTTTACGCAATCTACCGCCTACATAGGCCGCTAGGTTTAAATAATTAACTTGACAGCTCTTGTAACCCCCAACGAACTCCGATCCAAATCCTCGTTCCTGCGCCACGGGTTCACAGCCTTGCATATATGCTTCCTAATTCTTACTTGACCTAAGTCTTATTCTTATATCTTCGCCGTCATTCAATCCAGGGATACATATAGGAATTAAAAAATCAGATAATAAAAACCTAAAGTTGCGACCTTATACGGTAATGACGTTGCTTAATATGCGGAATTTTTTGTTTTAGCGACTAAGACAGATGACTTCATAAAAAACATGAAGAGTGCTAATGATAAAATATGATGATTTATTAAATATTTTCTTGAAAATAGAAACATTAAGATTGCAGGGTAGAATACTTAAGATATTCTTGGTTTAATGATTGAAATGAGTGAATACAATAAATTCACGATGGGCATAGAAAAAAATATTTCGCCATTGATGTGACCATATTTAGTAAGGAAGGTAATCATTTAAGCAAAAATATCTATAATATATCCTTTAATATCTATTTTATCCCCTTAATTTCGTTTTGGTTATATATATATATAAGTATACTTACATAATATTGACGAAGCTGAGGCCTTAACTGAGGCTGTGGCTGCTGTTGTGGTGGCCGTTGTTGGAGCGTTGACTGGTGATATAATTGTTGGTTGAATTGGGGTAAGGCGTTAAAACCAACGTACCGTTGTTGCTGGGACTGATGAGGCTGTTGGTATTGAGTTTGGGCATGCAGTTGAATCTTCTGGGCTTCAGTCTGTGCTGGAAGTTGCTGGGCCTGGATATCAAGTTGTTGTTGTTGCTGCTGCTGAAAAAGCTGCTGTTGGTCCGAATGGTGTTTTTGAATTTGTATATGAGATTGATGCTGCTGTTGTTGAAATTGCTGCAATTGTAGCTGCTGTTGTTGGTGATTTAATATTGAAGCCAAATCAGTGAAAGCAATTTGAGCATTTCGGGAATCAGTTGTAGCAACTGACTGCTGCAGCAACTGTGATTGCTGCTGTTGCTGTTGCAGTTGCAGAAATTGCTGCTGCTGCTGGTGTGGAAGTTGATGGGATTGATGCTGCTGTGAAAATTGATGTTGATGTGGCCCTGGATGATGGATCTGCACAGCGGTAATCTGCTGCTGTTGAAGTTGATGGTCTGTGGCTTGTAGTGAATGCGCCATATGGCTTGGTTCTGTTGTTTGTAGATATGAATCGCCACTAACACGGCCAACCTCACCGGCAGCCACAGCTTCACTCACCGAAGCGGTAACTGTCGTTGAATTAGCGCTACACACAATTCCTCCAACAAGCATACCCGTGGATGAATTAAGATGGACATGCTGTCCAGGAACAATAGACGGGGTAAGGGCTTGCAGATGATGGGCCTCATGCACCTGAGGTTGGATCAAAAATTGTTGCTGTTGAAGGGATTGCTGTTGTTGTTGCAAATGACTTGAATGAAGGCTTGTCTGATTCAGTTGGTCGACTACAGATGTCTGACGATGCTGTTGTTGTTGTTGATGCTGTACCAAGTGTTGGACGGCCGCCTGTAAGTGCATTTGAAGCTGCTGCTGTTGTTGATTTTGCTGAACACTAGTGGTATCGGATCCGGTTGGTTGATGACTCGTATGGCTGGAGGGGACCTGGACAATAAGGCTATTGCTTGGCCCACTAGCAGTGGAGACTCCAAGGACGCCGCTGGTATTCGGCTGGAAAGTGAGTGCATGTGGCTGGCTTGTCATGGCAGATGGAGGCGACATTGTCTAAACGGTCAGGAAAAATTAGGTAAGAAAAAAGTTGTTTAAGCTAAAGGAAAGCAAAAGAAAAATATCGTGCTGCCTTGGTCTCAGCCTAATTTCGTTGAATATAAGTATTCATATTGTCAGAGACCCACATAGTAGTACATTCTAATAGGAAATGTACCATCGAAGCTAGAAATTATCATGACTTCTAGGGCAGAAGACTCTGACAAAAGCGAGTTGATATAGTTCTATCTGATAAAACGACCAAGTTGAGAAAACGAGATCATAGCAGTTCCGCACAAAAAAAATATTCAGTAGGATAATATTTGGCGAAGCTAAATTGTAAATAAATCAAGCACTCAGAAAATAACATTCGCTTTAAAATATTCAGCGGTCTTAAGCATTAGGGCGAAAAAATAACCAATAAGCACTCAAACGTGCATGCGCAAAATAGGGTAACAGTTCGGGCTAATGTAAGGGCTGAGAGACTTAATAGTTAGAGTTCTGCATAAGAATAATGTATATATGATAATTTAGTTGCCTTTTTTTAGCCTAACAGACAGTTTGGTGAAGCCAGATTGACAAAATTAATGAGGCACTGAGTCAACAAATATCTTATGTGATCTTCAGCAATCACAATATTTTAACGTTTTATATATTCAAATAACTTTAAAAGGCTTAAATGGTTGGCAATATAGCTAGGTAACTTTGAGTGAATGAGAAAAGACCTAATGACTTCCATAAAAAATTATAGGTGGTGGTGGGGAATATCTTTTTTGATATTTTACTTCGTTCTACATGCGAGTATAACATTTCGTATAGCAAATATTCTAACCA